AGACAGACAGAGACAGACAGACACCTGGGAGTCTCTGTTGCAGTGCTCAGAGGTGAGGATGAGACCGGGCAGGTTGCTGGGCAGGTCCAGCCGTCTGAAGTACCAGACCAGGTTCCAGTAGATGATGGGATGATGGTCCACCATGTCGGCCTCTGTGATCACCGCGTCGCCCTCGTTCTCCAGCAGACTCTCCAGCTCTTTCCACAGCACCAGTGGGCTCAGGTAGGGAACCGTCACCGGCTCGGGGTTGTGCAGCCGCCACTCCATACTCAGCGGGTCCTGGGCGGGACAAGAATGACAGGAGGTTAGATTTCTAACTGCCATGAGTAAAGTATGTGCAGCCCTTTTTAACAAATATTGATTGATTTAAAAACATCAGTGATTTGTGTTGAGACACACCGTGGCTTCATTGAGGCGGCTGGGCAGGCTGCCCGACGTCGGCACACAACGGTTGAGTCGGGATCCTTCGTCCAGAGGGCCGAAGGCGCTGACACTGCGGGCCATGGGAGCTCCAGGGGAGGACACCCCCTTCCGGCGGTCTGAGGGGATATTGATACCTTGAACCCTGGTCGATCGAGTCCTGTGAAAACACAACGAGGAGGATCAGCTCATAACACACATCTCAACTCACAACATTATACAAGATGATTGTTGTTGAGTGTCTTAAGTCACACAAACAAAACAGAATCCAGATTTAAATCAGCAAAAACACTAAAAATCAAATTTTAGCCTCCTGATATCTCGGCACCAGGGTATCAGGCACTGTTCGTCCCTGTTGCTCACACATTTAATAACCTCATGAAGGTGGTCTCTGTGTCACACACACAGACACAGAAAGCTTTGTATGGACCAGGTGCTGCAGATCATCTCATATCGCTCTTTTACAATGCAGATGGGGCATGTGGATGAAGCTACTGTAGGTTCCTACTTCAAAAGCATTGTTTAATCAGACAAACCTCGAAGCTGAATGAAGATGAGCTAGAAAAAAAAATCATACAGCACATCTGAGAATACACCACGAGAACAAAAAAATAAGTGTTTCAGGCCTCATGTCAGCTGCTTTCTGGTTGTATTTAATCCTCCCGGCCATCCTCCCATCAAACAAAACTAGTAACATCAGTATCAGTCAGTCACTTGCTTGACATTAAAATGTGATTATGAAGGTTGTTTTCATTTGTCTTCAAGGTCCTTTACAGAAAAACATGTAGAAGACAGATATTTAATTCTACATGTAAGTGACGTAATATTCAGACTTTGTGGCTCCAAACTCAGATTTATACACGTGGATGAATTAAATGCGATGCAGGTCCCATTTTTTTAGTTCATCCTATTTCCAACACTCATGAAATACAGTCACCAGTAAGAATTTGATAAAGCGAGCACCACAAAATACATTGCTCTAAACTACAGTGTGTGCATGTTGTTATATGTGGCATGAATTAAAAAAAATTCTGAGAACAAAGTAGGTATTTGGTGAATAAAAATACATTTAGTTACTCTACATTACTCTCTTATAACACTGTCAGACTCAGAGATATCATCATTTTTTTACTCCACATATCAAAATCTGGTGCCAACATTACCCATAATGCAACCAAACCGCTAATGACTGGTCGGCAATTCACATGTTTTATGCTGGTAGCAACAATCAATCCTTGTCCAATAGAATATCAATATAGACTCAGTGTGTAGATAACTGGAGAATGTGGTTTACCTTCCACTCCCCAAGCACTCCTGGACAGCAATCACAGGGGAGGGAGGGAAGACAGCTGTTGTAGGACAGGGAGTGGACAAGGTGGACGTCCCTGTGTCCAAACCTGTGGAGGCTGAGTATGATGAGGTCATTGCCTCGTCCACCGACGGGCTTCCCTTCAGGAAAAGCCTGTGGAAAGGAGAGGGTGCACAAAGAGAGGACATCCAGGAACGTCAAGTCAGGTTTCTTTCCTGATTAATTAGTGATTATAAAATCCCTGTAGCATTTCATCCTGTTCACAATATATCATTTTGTTGATTTGTTAATTTTAAAGGCACTGAAAACCTATTTTCTTTATCAACGTCTTACTGTGAGGAATATGAACACACTAATATCTGCCAAAGTTAAAACATATCTAGTTATTTTACTTCAGAGATTTCTGTTTTTATCTGTGGTATTCTCACTGGTTTGAAGCAGGTTATTCTTATGTTTCCAGGCCAATGTCGATCAAAGTTTTTGGGTTTTTGTTAAACTCTTAACTTTGGTTTGTTGCCTATTTAGTCATAAGTGTATAACAGATAAACAAAACAATGTTTTCAGGGGGAAAATCATCACTGGAGAGTGGATAGTTTGAAAAAAGGTAATCAATAAGCAATCACAGTAATCAACTAATGTCAGTAAAAACCTAATAATGGGGAGAAGAAATAGCTCCATCCAGAAAAGTCTAAATGCTACAGATCGTGTGATAATCTGACAATATGCAATAAAAACAACAAATACAAGACAACTACAAAATTCCTCTAAAGTTATCTAACAGTTATATTTTCACTGTTTCAGCAGTTCAGTACTAAGGTGTCATCGTCTACCTGCCGGGTCCTCGCATGTCCCTGATCTCCACGTTGAGGAAGGGCAGAAAGGGGTTTCCACAAAAGGGGCAAGTGGTGTTCAGGTTGGAGTCGTCTGCCGTCCAGCCGGCCATGATCTCCTCATCGTACACCAGGCAGTCACACGTCTTACAGAGTGAACAGCTGGACATCAGCACCTATAACGCAGCAGGACAGGAAAATTGAGGACACACTGCAACACTCA